TGCATGTCCCGCTTCGGCAGCCCGGGGTTCGCCGGTTCGGATGCTGGGTGCAGACGTGGCACCACTTGGCAAGCCATGCTGTAGTAGGCATCCCACATATAAAGTAGAGGAAGATGGGCACGGATGTTAGCTCAGGGCCAGCCTTCCTCAGCAAAAAGAGGAGGATTGGCAGTAGTTAGCTTAGGGCAAATCTTCCTCAAAAAAAAAGATGCCCAAATATTGCATAGGACATACTTTTACTGAAAATATTATTTGTTGTTTATCTGAAATTCAAACTGAACTGGACATTCAATACATTTTGCTTGCTAAATCTGGTAACCCCACTTACCAGTGGTGAGGCCCCTGGCTTGGGGAAGGCTGTCTACTACCCAAGGTGGCCCCTTTACAAACTGAACCTGGGAGGAACACTCTTACCTCCTGGACGTGTATTCTCCACAGAGAAGACAGCACCCCCAAGGGAACAAAGAGTCGTTCTTGAAGGCAAAAACATCTTTTTTATGTGTATAGCACAGATATACATATAGTACATAAACAGATATACAGAATATCTGTGGCATTACAATGCCATGGGGGGACAATGAGAAAAAAAAAAGTCTAAAAAGCCTCCTTAAGGGGTCAATAATGAAAAAAAGAGAGAGAGAGAAAGTTGGGAAACACTGCCCTAGATTACTTTGCTTTAGGAATTTAAATTTCCTTAAAAGATGACACTCAAAGTCATCTTAACTTTGGCTACCATTTACTCCTGATAATGTGATAACACTCTTAGAAGGCCATGATAACATTATTCCAGATTCTGACGGTTCCTTGAGCAAAGGCCTGTCTGTCTGGGAAACGCTGGAATTCCAATAATAATAATAATGATAAAGTTCTTTGGTCCTCCAGAGATGGGAGGAGACGGTTGTGCTCCAGGGAAGGAGAAGAGTGCAGGGGCTGGGATGCTGCGATTAACCACATCAGTCAGAACAAAGCTAATGGAGCAAGAGGCAGGCCAGGCCACTGGACCCCAGGTGTCCTGGAGGAGGGTAAGGTCACACAAGAGGCCACACAGAGGCGTTCCTGTGCAGGGCAATCTGCAGCAGGGCCTGGGGACAGACCCCCCAGCCCTGAGGGGAGAGAAGCAGTGACTGCTCCACTGTCCCACTGTTTTTAAAATTGCTCCTCCAGACTCAAGGACACACAGCTCCTCGGCCATGTCTGGGAAGACCTTGCTCCTCATTCTTAGGTGGCTTCTCCCTTACAAATCCTCACTGCAACAATGGCTGGACAGTCACTGGGAAAAACCAATGTCAGGGTTTGTAGGATTTCATTCTTTATGAATGCTGGGATCCCTCTAAATTCGGATGGAGGGCATAGGAGAGTGCAAAGAACCTAAGCTCAAAGCAGAGGATCACCGAGGAGCTGGGAAGATATTGAGCCCTGTCCTAGGGAGTAAGGATGTGGACCCCCAGAGTGATTCGGTCAGCCCGGCTCTCCTGTGCTAATCTCAGACTACAGGCACTCCACATTCACTTTGCATTTTAAGTGATATTCATGCAATATTAGCCTCTTCTTCCTGATCTAACACAAGGCAACCCAGAACCCCTGTGGCTTTTCTACCTATGGTTCTAGGAGAAATTCTGGGTCCAGAACACAGCTGATTGGGTAATGGAGCAACATCACTTGAAGAAGTGGAATCAATGCTACCCAGCGTCTGATCGGTAGGTGGTGGCTGTCTGAGGGGGCCTATGCAGAAGTTCCTTGAGGCCACATGTGGGTCCTGGAGGGGCCAGGGCCACAGTGTTGGACAGTGACAGTTCCTGTCAGTCTGTTAAGATGACTCCCATGTCCACTGACCTCAAGACACAGCAGGCCTGAGATAAGCCCTGCTCCTGCTGAGCAGTGCAGATGGACACTGCAGTGGAGCACAGGCTGCTGGCTTGAGTCCCCACCACACACCACTGGCAATGCTCAGGACCCCGTGAAGGGGCCCTCAGAGGAAGATGCCCACTCCTACTCAGGATTTTAAAGTGTGTTTTTAAATTGCTTAAAGTGATATTTCCATTTCTTCTACACATTAGAAAAATTTATTTCTCCAACAAGTAGTTTCATCTCAGTAAGATGGAAAATTAAGAAGGAGAACTCCCTCCTTCACTCATGCATGCATTTATTGATTTACTGAATAGCAGCAATGTGTGAGGTCCATGCGAGGTGGTGGAATACTCTCCATCCTCACTCTTGGAGGAGGGGGGAGCAGTCTAGAAGTTTGTGCCTTAAAGACCAGAAAGACTTAAAGACTGAAGCACAGGCAAGTGAATCTTAAGGGGAAAGAGCCAGAGAAAAGGGAAAGGAACCTAGCTTATGCTTATGCTTTATACAAGCACAAAGCTAGGGGTACTGTGCTAGGGGCTTGGGTGGGGGCTTCCTGTGAGGTCGGCATCCTGGTTTCCCTTGTATAGGTGGGAAACAGAGGCACATAGAGAGTGACTTGTTCAGGGTCACCCAGGCCTTCAGTGTAGACCTGGGATTTGAACAAAGGTCTGTAGGTACTGCGGTGGGTGGAGTCCCTGCTTTCTACCTGATCCCACATAGCTTCCTGTCAGGGCAGGCAAGACGCAGTCATGTCCTGCAAATCTGACACGTTCCCTCTAACACAGTCACGTCCATCCCCAGCTTAGCCTCCTCTGCCTTATTTAATAAAAGTGGCATGAGCTCTTTGAAGAAAGATGTTGGATTAAATCCAAAGGGTAACACTCATGTGTCCTAGTTACTTTATCACCTGCACAGCTTGGCCACAGCGCTGTTTCCTGAGCACAGATCAACATCTGCAGGTCTGCTCCTCTCCACACCCCAGAGTAAAAGTTGAATGATTTATGCGTAATGCCAGGGTGTTACCAGTGGATACTTCAACATGACCCCAGAGCCATCCTACAGCCCCTGTCTTGGGAAACCACTGGGGTCTCTGAACATCATGAATCCTAATTTGCCTGTGTCTACATGTAGATCTTCCCTATCCAAACCTGTCTGAACCACAGACCACTTGGCAATTCCCAGAGGAAGGAGGAGATCTGCACAAACTGCTTATTTTTAATTTGCCCCTTCAATGTCATGGTTTGGGCAAGGTGACAGTTACAGCAATGTCATTCTTTTACCTATTTCTTCTACGGTGCAACAGATAGGAGGCTTTGCTCCTTCTCATCTGCAGGTACCTGGATGTGGATGGTAATTTCCTCCCAGGGACCCACAGTAGGAGATGGACAGCAGCAGAGGAGATGGGCGCAACAGCAAAGCTACACTGGTGCTGCAGGATCGGTGGAGGTGCTGTGAGGCTCCAGCCTGCACATGGGCTCCCTGCACCCCTGACCTTGATGTTGACTCTGACTTATAAGAGTTTTGTTTGCTTCTGCTTTGTCTATAAATTTGAGACTTTTTACTCATTTAAGAAAGTGCATTGCCAGCTAAGTGAAAGTGTGCCAACTGTGGCAACCTTCTCGGTTGCTCTGGGTCCCTGGAACAGCTCAGCAGGGCTCTCTGCCCCACCTCGGGGGCCTTTCCTGCACCCCTGTCCTACCCTTGCTTGCTAGTGCTGGTCCAGGCCTTTTACATCCCTGACACACTATACGTGGTAAAGTCTGAAACACAGCACTCCATTTAACTGTCTTTACTGCAAGGCTGTGGGATATGACAATGGTTATTTTTTTTTTACAATAGAATGAAATCTCAGATAATTGCCTATTTATCTGTTTTTCTTTGGTATGTATGCAAAAATCAAATTTCAGAATGAAGAAGACTCTTGGAATGCAAAATCAGCCTGTGAATTGGATTCTCTGTCCACCCTATGGCAGAACCACTGCAGGGGTGGAAAGGCAAAATTCTGCCCTCCAGAAGGTTATCTCCATGAAAGCCCATCCAAACTGTTTTTAGAGACGTATTTGCAAATTTAGCTCAGCTGCTTTTGGGAGGCAGCAGCTCTGTGATGGGAAAAAGGATTTCCTGTCTGCAGAGATCCTCCAGGGCACTTTCCCACAACAAAGTGGTCCTGGCCTTCAGAGCGACGAGTCCTGTTCCAAGGCACTGAGAATATGTTCTGTTCTGAGGCACTGCAATTATGGAGAGAGGACCATGGGAAGTAAGGCATTCCCTAGCTCCATCCCAGGGCTCCGGAAAGACATAGCCAGCATACGGGTTTTTCCAGCAGGTTGTACCCAGAGCTGTTTCCAGGATACAGCAGATAGGTAGGCTGTGGTGGTCAGGCAGAGCAGCCACGCAGGGTCCCTCCCTCTGCTAGTATCATCCACCTCCACTCTGCTTCTCTCCCTAGAGATCAGAAGTGCACTCCTTTGTTCTCCAAGTGCGGAGAGTGGGTGACCAGCTTTACAGTGGAGACCAAGGTGCTTCCCTCCCAAGTCCCAGAAGCATTGCATCTGCAAAGAGGTGAAGCCCTTCTGCTTGGTAAAGTTCCACCCTCTACACCAGTGGTTTTTGAACCCCTCTTTGCCAACCTAAAAGTTATATGGAACTCTAGTACACAAAAGAGGCCAGGAAGGGGCTTCTCTGCTCTAAGCTGGGACAAAGAGCAGGGGGCAAGAGGTCAGCAGCCTCCACTATGTGGGCCCCAACTGTGGACCGAAGCGGGTCCACAAATGGACTAAAAACTGTGGCCTGGGCCTCACAGCTGCTCCAGGTCCGGGCAATCAGAGAGCAGAAAGGAACTTTCTGGAACATTTAGTCTGAAAGTTCTTAGCTTTCATTGTCCAGATTTTAAACCTGATGCCTGGTCTCACCCCCATTGTTATGAGAGGAGTTCAGGCACTGAAGCCCTCCACCCCCTGCTCCCCAGTGCATTCTAGTCCAAACCCTTCAAAGGCGGAAAGTGCCATGCAGAGACGCAAATCTCGGATGGGGACTGCTTAAAAAAGGATTAATGAAAATCACTTTATCCATGGGACGGGACTGGGGGAGGGTTTGATTTCTTGGGATTCTACCTGGGGCTGGGGGTGCAGCCAAGCGAGGGAGCTGGATACCTGAGGAGCAGGGCAGCAGCAGGTCCATAATCACGGAGTCCGCCCCCTTGGTGTAGACGTAGATCTCGTCCGTGAGCGGGTGCCGAATCACCACCGACATCCTCTTGCGGATGGAGTCAAAACCCAGTGTATGCAGGAGCTCGAAGGTGAGCCTGCCCAGGTGGGGAAGTTCCACGGACACCTGGTCATGCAGCCGGTCCGCCAGCGCGCAGTTGTAGGCCCTGGCGGCATACACGAGCGCAGCCTCATCAGGGCTCTCGGCCTCATAGCGCAGCTCCTGCTCTTGCTCCTGTGCCTGCTCTAGCTCCCTCTCCGGCTCCTGCTCCCGAGCGGCCGGCTCCGGAGACCAGCCCTCAGCCCCGCTGCTGTAGCCATTGCTGGTGATGGCTGGCGTGGGCTGGCCCAACCTCTCCTCCAGTCTGAGCAGCGTGCTATTGTTGGACAGGGTGGACAGAAAGCTGGACCCCGACTTATGGGTGGACTTGGTGGCCAGGCTCCCAATGCTGCTGCTGCCCGAGGTCAGGCGGCTGGGTGTGAACCTCCGGAGGAAGTCTTCTATTGTCTTTACCGGGGACTTCAGCTCAAACCTCCCCCTCACCTGCAAGAGAAGCAGTCAGAAAAGAGGTGAAGTGTGTCCCCCAGAGGCCTCACCCCGACTACCACTGGGCACTCCTCCACTTCCCCAGCAGGGGCTCCAAGCACAGATATCCCATTTCTCAGATTTCCGGGCATGCAATGAAAATTGCAGCCAGAGTCAACATTTCTTCCTTGAAACCATCTCTTGGCCTCTTCCACTTCACTTAAACCAAGATTATCCAAAATTCATTCTTTTAGGATGTGATCACCAGAGTAGCCACAACTGAGGCTCCGGATTGACTCAGTGGAGTGTGTGGCTGGTGGTGTCCGCACGCTTTGAGACTGTCTCCTCTGCTGGCTGTCCTCTCACTGCAGTGTTCCACTGCTTTGCAGAAAAGGTTCAGAGGAGTGGGCTTATCATTGCCTGGCACTGCCTGGCATAAAAGCCAGCCTTTTTTGTTTTTAATTAAAAAACCATTTAACAAAAGGTCAATTTATACACTCCTTTGAATTATGTCCATAAAAAATTTAAATATACAAATAACCTTCCGAAACCCAAAAGAATCTTTCTAAACAAATGAAATACATACACAAATTCAGGATCCAAATCACTAAACAAATTTTTTAAATCACAAATTATGTATCTTCTAACAAGAAATGAAAACAACAAAATTACAGTTATATACAATTGTTAAAGTTTCAAGAAGCTCAATGATGGAGCAACAGAGCAACACTTCTGAGTACTGTTCAGTAATGCTGGTATAACACATCTATTTTAATTTTCTGCTAGAAAATGGATTTAGAGCTAACGTTGAAACAAAACATTGAACTATAGTTATCCTTAAATTTCTAATTTTGCCCACCAGTCCACAGTTGTGAATTACAGTAATAGCCTCCAGAAAAGGCAGGTATTTGGTAAAGCAAGGTACATAGGACCAAGTATTTTTCTTTTTTTTCTCTTTACTGCTTGGACAAAGTGATTTTTTTAACTGAGTTCATAATAGTTTACATCATTGTGAAATTTCAGTCCTACATTATTTCTTGTTCATCATCACATAAGTGCTCCACTTCGCCCCTTGTGCCCACTCCCCACCCCCTTCCCAAGGTAACCACTGAACTGTTTTCTTAGTCCATGTGTTTGTTTATAGTCCACATATGAGTGAAATCATATGGTGTACGTCTTTCTCAGTCTGGCTTATTTCATTTAGCATAATATCCTCCAGGTCCATCCATGTTGTTGCAAATGGGATGAATTTGTCTTTTTTATGGCTGAGTAGTATTCCATTGTATATATATATTACATCTGCTTTATCCAATCATTGGTCGATGGACACTTGGATTGTTTCCACGTCTTGGCTATTGTGATTAGTGCTGCAATGAACACAGGGGTGCATATGTTACTTTGGCTTGTTGATTTCAAGTTGTTTAGGTAGATATCCAGTTGTGGGATAGCTGGGTCATATGGTATTTCTATTTTTAGTTTTTCGAGGAATCTCCATCCTGTTTTCCATAGTGAGTGCACCAGTTTGCATTCCCACCAGCAGTGTATGAGGTTTCTCCACACCCTCCCCAACATTTGTTATTTTTAGTCTTAGTGATTATAGCCATTTTAACAGGTGTAAGGTGGTATCGTAGTGTAGTTTTGATTTGCACTTCCCTGATGATTAGTGCTGCTGAACATCTTTTCATGTGTTTATTGGCCATCTGTATATCTTCTTTGGAAAAATGTCTGTTCATATCCTCTGTCCAGTTTTTTTTTTTTTTTTTTTTTTTTTTAAAGATTTTATTTTTTTCTTTTTCTCCCCAAAGCCCCCCGGTACATAGTTGTGTATTCTTCGTTGTGGGTTCCTCTAGTTGTGGCATGTGGGACGCTGCCTCAGCGTGGTCTGACGAGCAGTGCCATGTCCGCGCCCAGGATTCGAACCGACGAAACACTGGGCCGCCTGCAGCAGAGCGCGCGAACTTAACCACTCGGCCACGGGGCCAGCCCCTCCTCTGTCCAGTTTTTGATCAGGCTTGTTTTTGTTGTTGTTCAGCTGTGTGAGTTTTATATATACTATGGAGATTAACCCCTTTTGGATAGATAATTTGCAAATATTTTCTCCCAATTCGTGGGTTGCCTTTTTGTTTTGATTCTAGTTTCTTTTGCATTGCAGAAGCTCTTTTAGTCTGATGAAGTCCCACTTGTTTATTCTTTCGTTTCCCTTGTCTGAGAAGACATGGTATTCAAAAAGAACCTTTTAAGCTTGATGTCAAAGATCATACTACCTATATTATCTCCCAGGAGTTTTGTGGTTTCAAGACTTATTTGCAAGTATTTAATCTATTTTAAGTTTATTTTTATGCATGGTGTGAGATAATGGTCTACTTCCATTCTTTTGTAAGCGGCTGTCCAGTTTCCCAACACCATTTATTGAAGAGACTGTCTTTTCTCCATTGTATGTTCTTGGCACCTTTGTCGAAGATTAGCTGTCCGTAGGTGTGAGGTTTTATTTCTGGGCTTTCAATTCTGTTCCGTTCATCTGTGTGCCTGTTTTTGTACCAGTACCACGCTGCTTTGATTACCATGGCTTTGTACTACATTTTGAAGTCAGGGACCGTGATGCCTCCAGCTTTGTTCCTTTTTCTCACGATTACTTTAGCAATTCGAGGTCTTTGTTTGCCCCATATGAATTTTAGGATTCTTTGTTCTATTTCCATGAAGAATGTCATTGGGATTCTGATTGGGATTGCAGTGAATCTGAAGATTGCTTTGGGTAGTATGGACATTTTAACTATGCTTACTCTTCCAATCCATGTGCATGGAATCTCTTTCCACCTCTATGTCATCATCTATTTTTTTCAATAATGTCTTACAGTTTTCATTGTATAAGTCCTTCACCTCCTTGGTTAAATTTATTTCTAGGTACTTTATTCTTTTTGTTGTGATTGTAAATGGAGTTGTATTCTTGAGTTCTCTTTCTGTAAGTTACTAGAGTATATAAATGCAACTGATTTTTGTACATTGATTTTATACCCTGCAACTTTTACTGTAGGTGTTAATTATTTCCAATATTTTTCCAATGGATTTTTTAGGGTTTTCTATATACAAGATCATGTCGTCTGCAAACAGTGAGAGTTTCACTTCTTCACTCCCTATTTGGATTCCTTTTGTTCCTTTCTCTTGCCTAATTACTCTAGCCCAAACCTACAGTACTATGTTGAATAAGAGTTGTGATAGTAGGCATCCTTGCCTTGTTCCTGTTCTCAGAGGGATGGCATTCAGCTTTTCCCAGTGAGTATGATGGTGGCTGTGGGTTTGTCATATATGGCCTTTATTATGTTGAGGTAATTTCCTTCTATCTCCATTTTGTTAAGAGTTCTTATCATAAATCGCTGTTGGATCTTGTCAAATGCTTTTTCTATGTCTGTTGAGATGATCTTGTGGTTTTTATTCCTCATGTTGTTAACGTGGTGTATTGGTTGATTTGCGGATGTTGAACCATCCCTGGTTGGTTGTATAAATCCCACTTCATCATGATGTATGATCTTTTTGATGTATTGCTGTATTCAGGTTGCCAATATTTGTTGAGGATTTTTGCATCTATGTTCATCAGTGATATTGACTTGTAGTTTTCCTTTTCTTGTGTTGTCCTTGTCAGGCTTTGGTATTAGAGTGATGTTGGCCTCATTGAATGCGTTAGGAAGTATTCCATCTTCTCTGATTTTTTGGAATAGGTTGACAAGGATAGGTATTAAATCTTCTCTGACAGTTTGGTAGACTTCTCCAGGGAAGCCATGTGGTCCTGAGCTTTTATGTTCTGGGATGCTTTTGATTACTGTTTCAATCTCTTTATTTGTGTTTGGTCTATTCAGATTATTTCCTCTTGATTCAGCTTTGGGAGGTTGTAAGAGTCTAAGGATTTATCCATTTCCTCTAGATTGTCCATTTTGTTGGCATATAGCTTTCCATACTATTCTCTTAGAATTCTTTGTATTTCTATGGTATCTGTTGTTATTTCTCCTCTTTCATTTCTAATAGTATTTATCTGGTCTTTCTCTCTTTTCTTCTTTGTAAGTCTGGCAAGGGGTTTCTCAATTTTGTTTATCTTCTCAAAGAACCAGCTCCTTGTTCCACTGATCCTTTCTACTGCCTTTTTTGTTTCAATTGCTTTTATTTCTGCTCTGATTTTTACTATTTCTCTCCTTCTGCTGACTTTGGGATTTGTTTGTTCTTCTTCTAATTCACTCAGGTGTAATTTGGGAATGCTTATTTGGGATTTTTCTTGTTTGTTAAGGTGAGCCTGTATTGCGATGAATTTCCCTCTTAGTACCACTTTTGCTGCATATGTAGGACCAATTTTGATAAAGGGGCTTTTCTTTGTTCCTACAATGACTTTAAATATGCTACATATCCAGGTGGGAGATTCAGCCAGCCACGCTGGAGCTCCTGTGGCTCCAAATACCCTCAAAGGTGGCACTCGCTAAAGTGTTGGAACAGAAATGCACACAGAGATGTTCATTTACAGTCTGAGGTGGGTGATTGAATATTGTGCTCCCTACATGGAACTCACTACATGTGTGACACAGGCTTCAGTTATGTTGGGGTCTCTCTCATCTATTCAGTCCTTGCAACAATGACTAGGTATGTTAGATAGGCTCTAACCTAGAAACCAAATACCCCTCCAGGGATGCACATCAGAGTGATTGAATACAGGGTGGCGGAAGAACCCAGAGGCCAGATGAGACATGCTGAGACAGCTAAGAGATGAGCTGCAGCAGGAGGCAGCTCTTACCCAGGCTGGCAGCACAAGCCTTCTGTCTCTGAGTCCTTTCCACTCGGATCTTCTGGGTCCACTGGGGCCTCTTCAGGCCCACGTGGCAGAAGCGAGAGCACAGGGGGGCTGCACTGCTGCCAGGCATGCTTCTGCCACAGAGAGGACAGGGACGCCTGGTTTACCCCACATCCCACACCAGTGGCTCCATCAGTGGAACCTGTTGGAAGGGCTGACCCAGGAGATCGGGAAGAGGCCTGGGAAAGCAAGGGGCTCAGGGGCAGGTCTATGGCATGCATCTGGCCCCGGAACACTTTTGTTTTGACCCATTTAAAGCTGCTTTGCTGCATTTACAAATCCATGCTTGCATGACTCCCATACCACCTGGCCCACCTGAGGACTTTCTGAGGAGCACCTGAGTTATAGAGGCTTCTTTCACACATAAAAGCTTACTCCTTTTGGAAAGAACTTTAATGTTAACCCAAGCAAAAGAACTTGGGTACTGCTATGCTTCCACCTCCTCAGGTAACCTCTGATTGATTCTCAATCACTTCTTGAATGACAATGTTAAAAACCTCTATTAAGGTCAAATACTTTTACTGTGTGCCAAACCCTATTCTGGGCCCCCTCTGTAAATCCTTACCACCACCCTCATGTCCCAGATGGGATTCATGAGGCACAGGAGGGGAACAGCTTGTCTAAAGCCACTCAGCTAAGTGGTGATGTCAGGATTCAAGTCCAGGCCACTCATCCCAGAGTCTGTCCTGTCCTCTCTCCTGTGAGAGTCTGCGACCCAGAGGCTCTGCGTAGGTTGTATAAGGCAGCCTTGCTCCTGCCCCTGCCAACCCCAGGCCAGGCCAGCAGCTCTGCACCCCTTCTGTCCAGGGCTCAGAGGGTGTGTGTCTTCTCCCACTTGGCCCAATCCTGGCACCCATCTGCTGCATCCTGGGATGGCACTGAAGAACCAAAGAGCTGGTTTGCCCCTATGAAGCCCTCTGCTGCATCCCCTTAAACATGAGAGGTGGTGCCGAGTGGCTCCTGCAGAAAGGAAAGAGCAGTACCCACAGGAAGACTGACAACAGGAGGGCTGCGCCAAAGGTCAAGGGCATCATGGGCTCACAGGAATACTCTAGAACTTACCTTTTGTCGTGGCTGATCCGGGGATGTGACAACCACTGTGTTGCAGATGGTGAGTGCAATGAAGAAGTCGAAAACATCAGACAGCTCTGGCGAGAGGTGGGCCAGTGGGTGCTCCTGGTGCCTAGCGACGGCCAGGCACCTGTCACACTCACTCACCTTCTCAAACAGCTTTGGGTCAGGTGCAATGTCTTTCTCCTGGGAAGAAAACAGAGCCTGAAGGGTGAGTCTGACCCAGTGACCTGACAAGCGTCTTGGTGCTTGACTATTGAAGGCACCCTGACTTTACCATCAGCAGTAAACGCACCTTCATCTCACACATACACATGTGCCATTTTTACAACAATAAATTATGTGTAATTTTAATTGTATGAGAATATATCTTACATATGAAATGAAATGCATATATTCTTATATATAAGATATACATGTTCTTATTATAAAATAATACATCTAAGAATATATATTAATATAACATATCTTACTCAGAAAGACTTCAAAAATCAGAGAATAGGGGAAATTTAGCAAATATCACCTCAGAGTAATGTATACTTTTTGAAAAACATGCTTCTGCATTTCTTTCCAGTCGTTTCTCTATACATTTTACATAATCAAAACATTTTATACATAAATTGGCAGTTTCCATTTTCCCCAAGACATGATATTGTCTGAACTTTTCCAGGCCTTTAAGAATTATTTGAAAACACAATTATCAACAACTTCAAAAAGGATTAGCATAATTTATCTGGCCATTCCTTTATTACCAGATACAGTTTTTTCACTGCTCTGCTGATGTAAATAACACACTGATAAACTTCTGTGTACAGAAATCTTTGCCTGAATCATTAAATTTGAAAGTTTGAGCATTTCAGATATTCTTGACCGATATTGCTAAATGGATGTCAGGAAAACTTGTTCAGGGCGGTCTCCCTCCTGCCGAGTGTGAGAGCCCCCTCCCACGTACCCTATATAAACCCACATAATTATGTGGATCATAATTCTCCATCATCTCTATTTAAATGGTAGCATCTCTGTGGGTTCAGAAGGACATAAAAGAATGAGGCCACCACAGAGTGAACAAAATCGACTCAGAACTCTCTGCTCTTAAAACATTTTAGCAAGGCAAGGGAGAAAGAAGTTTTATTGGATTTGAGCTCATCTAATTAACTCCTTCTTTTTTCATTTGGCTTTGCTTTTTTTCATAGTTGTCGTCTTGCTCTGATGTTTTAGTTATTTCATTTGGCAGGATGGACTTCCTTTCTGTCACCCCTTTCAGTGGCTCACCAGCAATCCTCCAGCCTTAGAAGCTATAGTGAAGGGGCTGTAGATACAATGGTGTTGGAAAAGATACAGTGCTGTGGGGAAAAGGTGTTGGCCAGAAAGACTTCTGCTAACTGAGCAGAGTCAACCTCCAGCAACAGCTTGTTTGTATTACCAGGCACAGACACTTTCGATGAATACGGCATATGGAAGTGGGAAGGAATGGTGGACTCACCATGGGACTACTGAAGGCCGTGTGCTTGGACAGCATGCTGGCCCGCTTGGCCTCCGCCCGGCTGCCCGTGCGCCGGTGCGTCTTGGTGCTCTGGATCCTGTGCATGATGTGGACACTCTGGTGGCTCCCAATGCTGCCGCGCTGGGGCAGCGAGCTCCCTCTGGGCACCATCTCTTCCTCCTCAGAGTCCGCCTCCTGGTACTTGGCTAGACGCCGGGCTGTGGGCAGAGGGACAAGGGGTGACACATCATAGGGAGGCTGGGAAGACAGATCTGATTCAGAACACTCACAACCCTCACTCTCTAATGGCAAGGCCCCATTTAAAGAGGGTTTCCACTGAGGGATGGAGGACGTTCTCATTTCTCTGCTCCTTCAGTCAACCTGATGAGGTTGATATTCTCAACCCCAATTCACAGATGAGAAGGTTGAGTCTCTGAGACCTTAAGGAGCTTGCCAAGGTCACAGGACACAGAGGCAGGGAGTGCAGATGGCACCCAGGCCCGTGGCCCACCAGAGCTCATGTCCTGTCCATTATGGCACAGTAGCTGTTCCCCTCCATAAACAAGTCAAGCATGGGCAGAGATGGATTCACACAGCCCCTCCGTTCAGGTGGAGTCTTGGTGTAAACACGGGCTGGATGGGTCAGTGGCTGGGAGGAAGGCAGGGCAGACGGTGAAGGCCTGGCCCAGAGTAGCGGGGTTCCAGGCTTTGCCCTTCATCCTGAGATGATGGGGCCACCTGGCTCACTGGGGCCATCAGGATGGATTACATTGAGCATCTGACTTGCAGTCAAACAAAAATAACAGTTTTCATGCTGTGTTGAAGGTACAGTGTGGGGGCTCCTTGCTCAGGGCCTGGTGGGTACTGTCCACACTCAATCTGTACAGATGAAGCACCATGCAACAGCGGGGTTCACCGTCCTCCTGGGGTTGGGGTTGCACAGCATGGACTAATGCCCCTGGGTTTTAGAACCAGCAAGCAAAGCTCCACTGAAGAGGACCTTCACTGCGATGCTACACTCAAGCCCTTAGGGGGCGCTGCGAGCAGACGTCCCTGTGGCTGCTCAGTGAATCACAGGAAGTGCATCTGTGCCGCTGTTTCTTGCTGAGGATGGCTCTGAACACGTTTTCCTGGCTTTGCCTAGTTAGTTCAGCTTGTTCCATCATGGGTGAGCCACAAGGAGACTATTCATGAGGATTACTCATTCAAAACAAGTGATTACTCAGAACTGCAAGAGCAGGCCCAATGCTGGGCAGGAGTGCAAGGTATCCTCAGACAAGGCAGCCTGGGGGAGTGGCCAAGAGAAGGGGCCTTTATATAAGGATGCCTGTGGTGTTGGGCTGTGCTGTGGGCCCAGCCTTATATTCAGCATCTTTCTTTAGAAAGACTTTTCTTTAGAGATGAGAAAAATGGAGATAAGGAAAGAGAATTCACCTGCCCATGGTTACAAGGCTGAGTAATTGCTAACGCCAGGATTCTACCTCAGGGAGCTCCTAATTCCAGGAGCAAGATTCCTCCTGCACGCCCCACCCACTCTTGGCTGACATAAGTCCCGGTTTGGTGGCAAGTGGACAACAAGGAAGAACAAAGCCAGGACATGGGACTGTCTAGCTCCTAGGCTTGTGTGTTAGGAGCTTGGCGTCCAGCCTCCTGAAAAGCACACCTGCCTGTTCCACCCTCATGCAGCAGCTGTCGGATGTTAGCCTAAAAGTAGCCATCCCTCAGGCCATTGCTGGTGTCTCTGTGGTCTGCAAGTAGACAGCAGTTTCTGACCAGAAGCTGCCTTAGCGATGCCCTTGAGGACGATGAGGGCAAGGAGTGGGTGATGCCTGTCCCTAGGTGTGCACTGTCACCAGGACAATAGGTCAGAGAGGGTCATGACCACCCATGGCCTCCGTGGCCAGTTCAGGTATCTGTGAGCTGGGCTCAGTGCTCAGAGCCAAACCCAAAATTCATTTTACTAATGAGACCTGAGAGGTCAGGTCATGGGAGTAACCGCTAAAGATGCTCTTGGACCCGGGTTCCCATCAATGACTGATGGCAGCACTTCTTTAAAACAGGTTGCAGAGACTCCTGGTGGTTTCAGTCTTCAGCAGAAATGCTTTCTTGTGTCTTTCAGAGGTGATGGAACCCTTTGGTTTTACGGTAAGCATTTGACAACTGTCAAATTCTGTAATCTTAGTTGGGATTCTGCTCATTGAGCCTCAGGTCCAGCTTTCAAAAGCTGCTGCTGACCTGACTTCCTAGGTCTTTGACTCCTTCACAACTAGGCTGAGTTCTGCTTTTAGGTAAATAAGCTCTTCTGCACAAGGTTGAGGAATTACAGAAAAAGGAGAAGGAGAGGGTGGACAGGTGGTGGATGGGATACCATCAATGACCGTTTATTTTGGATGGCAAATAAAACATTAAACAAAGTAGGTAAGTTCCTATGCCTTCTTGTTTAATATGACAGCTTTAATTTTACATGGACATTAGTGGATATCATGATAATTCTTGGTTTTATAAAACTCACAAAAAATCTCTTGCTTCCAACAGATCCTTGCCACCAAATCCCCCTAAAGTACAGTTTCCTATTCTTGCCCACATGCTGTCCCTCTGTTCTATATTTGCTTCTGTTTCCATGGCAAGGTCTCTTTGATGTTCTCAGATGCCGTTTCAGCAAGGAAAGGGAAGGCTGCAGAGCAAGTGCCCCCTGTCAGAGGTGCGATAGCCCCAGAAACAGGACTGTGGCACAGGGACCCTTATCATGGTGCCCTCTCCTGACTTGGGTGCTCGCTGGTTACAGCCACACACTCAGCTTATGAAGTGGATGGCTCTCCTGTGTGTTTAGAGAGGCAGAGGCAGCAAAGGGTAAGGAAAGGAGAGGTGGGAGGAGGGACCGCTTGAAAAATCCAAACTGAGTGACATTTCTTTCCAGCTCCCACAGACATTGTATTCCAAGGGAAAGAATGCAGCATGAATTGCCCAATGCCATTCTGAGAATTTTCAGCTGAGAACAAGAGGACCAATGGGTGACAACAGAAACATCTCTGTCTCTTGGAGTGGTAGAGAGACTGGGTGCCTGAGAAGTTCCACAAGGATGCCCTCCTTAGTTCCCCTTGTCTGGCAAAAAATGAATGTTTAGGCAGATGCCCACCATATGGAGACCGTGCAGTGAGTGGGTGCTGTCAGCCAAGTGGAAGTGCCTTTTCCAAAAGTGCCACCAGGCTTCGGGCTCCCAAGTTCTCTGACAACCCTTCTATGTTGTATTCTCCCTCGAAAATCAGCAATCCCTGAAGCTTGTGTGCACATGTGACAGTGTGAGTGTGCATGTGTGCTTGTGCATGCAGCTTTGACACAGCAGCTTTCTGGTCCAGGACCCCCTCCCTACCCACTCACCATTTGCATCATGAGAATATTCTATACCAGACACAGTGCATCTTCGGAAAACCATCTTATTCTCAGTTAAAGTGCCCGTTTTATCTGAGAAGATGTACTGTATCTGCCCTAAGTCTTCCGTGATGTTCAGAGCTCGACACTGCAGCTGTGAGTCTGTTTCTTCATCGTACAACTCTACATCCTGGTTAATGAAGTACACTTGGCAGACTTTCACAATTTCAATGGAAACATATAAGGAAATTGGGATCAAAACCTGGAAGACACAAGACACAGAATGAATGGCTGTGAGGACCAGGGAGCTGCAGAATTAGTCCAATCTATTTAAATGACAAATGACTACAACCACAGGTAGGTAAGGACTATACTGTACCTTTCAGAGCTTAAACAGGTTGGTTTAGAGTCAGTATTGGAAAAGTACTAGGATATTGGCAAAGAGTTTAAAGTAGGACAGCCTATGGTGCCAGTGCAGAGCAGAAATCCACTACTGTGTTTGAAAGTATGGTAACCATGGCTTGGATAGAGGCAAGCGTTTTCATATTACTAAGTTGTGCTTGAGAGAAGCTAGGAAAGAAAAGAGAGAAAAGAGAAAAAAATCACATGGCACAGTCAGAGTCATCATAAGCAAAGTTTCCTCGCACCACAGTGGCACTCTGCCCCCAGGCTGTCCTGGGGCTCATGGCCACAGGAGTGCCTGTCCCGCAGACACAACCCCACAGTTCAGAAGAGAGTCTTTTCAGAGGTTGGTTTTGTGTTTAAGGACAATTTCTGTGATCTTGCACAATGCAGAGCAAAGAGAAGACGACTTTCAGAAGGATATTCAGTTATGCTTTGACAATTTAAGGATAGCCTCCATGAAATCAATGTTTAATTTTCTATTTTTTTGTGGAGTAACAGTATTGAACTGATGTTGATTGGCTCAGAATATCATATCTAGACTAACAGGATTCTCCTGGTAACTTAAGTAAGTTAATGCAACACCTACCACAATACTAACCCAAGGCTAGAAGAAAATTTGCATTTACAAAAAAAGACAGTGAAGTAAGACAGAGAAAGAGAAATACTGTATGATCTCACTTATATGTGAAATCTAAAAAAACAAACTCATAGATACAGAGAACAGATTGGTGGTTGCCAGAGGTAGGGGGTGGGCAAAATGGGTGAAGGGGGTCAAAAGGTACAAATTTCCAGTTATAGAATAAATAAGTCATGGGATGTAATGTACGGTATGGTGACTACAGTTAACAATACCAAACTGTGTATTTGAAAGTGGCTAAGAGAGTAAATTTTAAAAGTTCTCAACAAAAGGAAAAGAACATTTGTAACTATGTGTGGTGACGGACCTTAACTAACCTTATTGTGGTGGTCATTTTGCAATATCTACATATATCAAATCATCATGTTGTGCACCTAAAACTAATGTAATGTTATATGTCAATTATATCTCAATAAAACTGGAAAAAAGTTACAGAACAGAAAGAATTACTAATAAAATAATAAGTGAATTTCTTGAATAATTCAAAACCCCATATGAATCACCATAATAGTTTCAATCTCTTTTTCCATCGAACTTTTTATGAGAACTAGGAAATAAATTACCACTTTGAGTTCCAAAAAAGAACCCCTGCTATTTTGGAAAGTTAAATAAGGCTGTTTCCCATTGTGTGAAGCACAAGACAGCAGAGCTCCCCTCCTAGGCAAAGCTAAGCAAATGCTCACTGGTCACTCTGTGCTCCCAAGGAGGTTGACAGTGATGCTCACAGCCCCTTCTCCACTCTTTAACAGGCTTTTTGGGCATAGATTCTCAGTTAGTGACTGGGAGTCTTTGGGTAGGCATGTGAATTAGTAATGATAATAATAATAAACAATCTCACTAAATGCAGTGTGATATCCTGAATTGAATCCTGGAACAGAAAAAGCACATTAGTGGAAACACTAGTGGAATCCGAATACATCTAGAGCTTAATTCATGGCAAAGGACCAAAGTTGGATTCTTAGTTTTGACAATGTTCCATAGTACTATGATACATTCACATCTGGGGAGCCTGGCTGAGGACACATGGGAACTCTCTGAACTATTTTTTGCAACTTGTCTGTAAATCTTAAAATTATTTCAAAATAATGTGATTTTTTTTAGAAGTAATTGAATAGAAAAACAAAACCAAAGAGAAACAATGATAAAAACCAACCCTACAATGCTTAAGAATCTTAAGAACAGCAAAGGAGAATTTTACCTTGAAAAGCCCCAAGAAAAGACTCTATAAATAAATTAAGTGGAAAAACAAAATGCAGCATGTTAGGCAGGTACATTCATGGTCCTCCAGATGCAGAGATTATAGAAAATTCTTGGCAGACTATGATGACTTGAAGTTCTCCTCAAGGAAGTAAAGCAATTATTGTACGATACTTAGTACTGTTACCTGCAGAACTATTATCATGGTCAAAAATGAGTACACTGCAGCTGTGACTGGGGACAAAGAGCTCCCATCAGACTCGGGAACATCGAACAATGACTTCTTCTCTTTGTACCGCCACACCCATAGTCCGTGTCCTGTAGTAACGTTCAAAGAGAAACGTCATTTATCCAAAGGAAAAATAAGAACGCTGTAGTGCAAATTAAAGCAAAACTTTAAGACTGTGACTCGACGCAGCCACATGTGGGTTTATCAGCTGCCTTGCCACGTCAGAAAGCAAAAGCACATGGCACTGTGGCACCCACGATCAGACTGCTGGATGGCAGCAGGACCTGGACCTTTCCTCACACCATGTTGGCACTGAATGGCACCACTGGTCATAATGCAGGAATTGAAGGTGCTGGCAGCTGCCGTGGGAAACCCTCAGAAAGGAATTTCCCAAAGAGTGCCTCATAAAACGCCAGTTTTGTCAGTAGCCTCTGGATACCGCCCATTATTGTCCCTTCTTGGAGGTTCAAAACGCACTATCACAGACTCTGAGAGGCCAATGGCAATGCGCATTATTTCATCATCCGGGTCTCACACCTATCTGATAACGGAAGCCCTTTTCCTGTCCCATACACCTACGTCTCCCAGACCACGACACCCGCTGGTGCATGATGGCAGCTGAGCAGGGTAAGTGGTGAAGGTCATTTACCTAGAGGCTCAACACACTTCCCTGCAAGGTGCTCCCAAGGCAGTGTGCTGGGTCTGGGGACTTGAAGGATGGAGAGCACCAGAGCCCACATGCAACCCAACTGCCAGCTCCTTCTGAGGATCCCAATAATTTTTTTCCTCTTTTCATGGAGTTCTCATTAGTAGCATTCATCCTTCTCCTGCTGTTACTCTCAGTTCATCACCAGGTTACTTCTTCCATTGGAATCATTACTAGTGATATGATTAAACCATTCTTCTGTCCAAGATGTTGCCAATTCGAAAAATAACATTACTTCGCCAAGCCCATTCATCTAGGCATCTCAAGATGGCCTATGCTGATGCAAACATCCCGTGATTCCAAGTCAGTGACAAATGTGCATTTTAACTTTAGATCAGTGGATCAGGACGAGTTATGGGCAGCCTACCAGGCTCACCTGGAGGCTGTCCAGCAGCACCCACTCATTTGTGACCCGTCAAGGAGACTTACCAATCGCTGAGAACAGAGACATAAAAACAAGGAGGAGGACACACCAGAGCACATCGCAGTTCATCTGCCTCTCAAGCTGGCTGCGCTTGTAGCGGGGCCCGCTGTTATTCAGCAGAGCCTTGGTTTCGTGTCCTGTGGGGGAGAACGAAGGGTCACAGTGAATCAATGCCCAACAGTTAAGGGATGCACTACACTGACTGCATGGCTTGAGGTATGATGCTGCTATACTTATGGGATAAGCTCAGTCAATAACAACTGTGGAGAAACACATGGGGAGAAACAGGCTAAAATGCTCAGAGAACACTTTTGGTTGAGGTATTATTAGAAGTTTTCCTTCTTTTTATTTTGCTCGCTTTCCAAATTTTCTACAATGGATAGATGCTGCTTTTATAATTAGGAAAAAAAAAACAGGAAGCAATGTCCAAGAACACGCAGCCCAATGTGGCCAGCCAGTGCTGTCACAGACCGCATGTGACACGGCCATGCCTACCCGCGTAGATGACGATGCCGACAACGGCCTCTGTGTTTCGGATGGTGCAGCCTCGCAGCAACAGGTTTTCTTTGTACAGCCCAGCCTTCTTCCCATTATCGTGTATGCTGTCGAGAAAGAGTTGGCACGAGTCACTCGGATGCTTACATGTTCCTTGTGGCTCAAGTAGCACTGCCTTTGGGAAGGAAGGCCTGGATGCTGGACTTGGATGGGGATCAGGGAAACTCAAGAGGGGTGGCTTGTCTCAGTGGACCTCTGCAAAGGCTGAGGGGGAGCTGGTGCTCACCAATAACTGGGCTTCTAGAAGCATCTCAAGAAACTGATATTTGATTGTTTACTTTGCCGATGGGCTTTGTGAAAAAATAAGATAGATATATTGGTCTCTGCCTCCAGTTCCTGACACTGGGCCCCTGAAACCTTGTAAGTAGGAGTGCTAGGAGAATCTTTTGTTCTAATATTTAGTCTCTGCCCCCAGTTCCTGACACAGAGCTCCTAAAACTCTTGCAAATTCCGAAGTGATAAGAGCAGTAGGAGCATCTTCTGTTCTAATATTTTGTCTTCGACCAGTTGTTCCTGACACAAGATACTAAAGCCCTCGTAATTTCCTGGGTGATAGTAGTGTCGTTTGTTCTAATGAGGCAACTCTGGGTGGGCTCTTGGATGGCTCCTGGATAGGGGCTGATCACCAGAAAGAACGAGCCATGATTAGAAGCTTGGAACTTTCAGCCTGGCCCCCTATTCTCTAGAGAGAGAAGAGGAGCTGAAAATGGAATTAAAAGTCCATCATGCTTCCATCAAACTCCCGCAAGTATGAAGTTTGGAGAGCTTCCAGGTTGGGGAACAGGTAGAGGTGCAGAGTGGAGTCCAGAGAAGACACTGAGGCTCCACATCCCTTTCTACACACTTGCCCTACGCATCTCTTCTCTCTGGGTGTTTGTCTGTATCCTTTATCATATCCTTTTATAATAAACTGGTAAACAGCAAGTAAACTGTTTTCCTGAGTGCTGTGAGCTACTCAAGCAAATTAATCAAATCTGAGGAGTGGGTCGTGGAAACCTCTGATTTATGGCCAGTAGGTGAGGAGCACAGGTGACAACCTGCTCTTGTGATTAGCATCTGAAGTGAGTGTAAGGGGCAGTCTTGTGGGACTGAGCCCTTAACCTGCGGGATCTGACACTATCTCCAGGTAGATAGTGTCAGAATCAAGTTAAATTGTAGGACTTCCAGCTGGTGTCGCAGATTTGCTTGATGTGGGAAAAATCCACACAACTGGAATTGGTGTCAGGATGGTCGTAGACTTATCTTCACCACAGGGATTGACCACAGCTAAAGAGGGCAGACGAGGAATGGGAGACCGAGTTGGGAAGCTGGCCAAGGAAGGCCCTGCTAGGTAGTCACCCACCCATCTCCTGCTTATCATATAGAGCACTGCTCCTCATCAGTACCTTGTGTGTCACAAAGATACAATGATTTCTCCAGTAAAGGGGATGATAGTGGTTTCAGCAACATTTTCTGCATCCTTTTTTTCTTATAAAAAGTCAAAATTTTTAGAAATGCTAATATATTAACTTTGAAATGTAGTAAATTCTATGAGACAATTTTATAAATTCGGTTTCACTGCTACTTAGATTCAGAGGGATAGTCCAAGTTCAAGCCACTAGTTGTCAAGCTCGTCTTCTTGGCTCACTAATGATGGCTGCGTCCTCACCCATGCTAATGAGGATCCCCCCTGTGCTAGAACCACACTGGGACAGACATGGTCCCAGGAGCCTGAGGAACAGGTCACAAGGGGAGGCACTAGAGGCTTGTGGAACTAGAACTGGGGCCCAGCTTAATCTACATCAGACAGTGCCACGGAGAAGTGGGCCTTCCAAGAAGCCACCTCCTCACACCCTCAGTAGACAGCACTCCCCACACCTCCCCAACAAACCCATAGCCCAAACCCCTTCTCTGTGGTTCTTGAAGCTCACCAAGGGCCCCTGTAAATGTTTTCCCTCCCACCAGCTCCTAGCATGGTGCCATTGACACGAGAACAGAGCTGGTGTGGAGAGGTGCAAGGTCAGAAGAAGCCCACAAGGTTTCCAGGGAAACAGAACTTCCTGCCACATCTGGAGCCTAGTCTCTGGCACGAGGGGCAGGGCCACCTCTCAACCTTAGACACAACCCTGTTCTTCACAACCAGGGAAATGAATATATTTTCTGGTGAAGAAGAGAAGCTAAAACATAGAGACAAGGCCAAACTGTGTCTGGGGGGGCACACTTTCCTCAAGCCTGTTATTCACAGTGTAGCATCGGGTCCCCTGCACAAGATGTGCAAATGAGCATGCAGGAGGATGCTCAGTCAACACTGTCCACGGTTCCCTTACGGCAATTCCAGGATAGAGTAAAACTTTGCTTTAAAAAGAGATTCAAGCCTGAAAACCTCCCTGCCAGCTAAAGCATCCAGAGACTAGCGTGTATAAGACATGACACTCAAAACTCGGCTCCCGCATCTGGAATGAGTGGGTGTCCGTGGCCACAGTTCTGTCTCTAACAGCCAGATCTAGCAAGTATTTCTCAGGGACAGGAGTGAAGAATGAATCACCTCAATCAAGGTTCCAGGCATGCTTTTTTAGGACAAGAGATGAACTCAATAGAAACAAAAATATTTCACATTAAGCTTTCTTTGACATGCCCAACACTTTTTAGCAACTACTGTGCTTTTTAATCAGACCAAGCCAGACCAGCACACATCCCCAGCAGGTGCACCGGCCTATATGAGGAGCATAGCCACAGGGACAAGCAGTGGACCATGGGACGAGGTCACACTCCTGAGTGAAAGACCCTGGTATCAGAAGCCAGAGGACACCAGAGGTGGGAGGAAGGGAGGCCAAGCTCCAGCAGAAGGCTGAAAAACGGCATCACCAAGCAGGCTTGGCCTCTGAAGTGCTGCCTGGGATTATGAGTGAAAAAGTCCCTGCCAAGAGCGGAGCAGGCCCAGGGCCAAGCAGGCATGAGGCCTGACTCCAGGAGGGTGCACACAAGAACATGAACCCATCAAGCTGCCCTCAGCGCCTACCTCTTTCTTATGGGTTGACTTGTGTCCTCCCCAGAATTCATATGTTGAAGTCCTAACCCTGGTATCTCAGAATGTGACTGTATTTGGAGTTAGGTATTTAAAGAGGTAATTAAGTTAAAATAAGGTCATACGAATGGGCCCGAACCCCTTATGATGGTGTCTTTATAAGAAGAAGGAATTCAGACACAGAGACAGACAAGCATAGAGATTAAGATGATGTGAAGACACAGGAGAAGACGGCTGTCGGCAAGCCAAGGACAGAGGCCTCAGGAGAACCAGTCCTGCTGACACTTGATCTCAGACCTCTAGCTTCTGAAACTGTGGGACAATAAATTCCAGTTGTTTAAGCCGCGCGGTCTGTGGTCAGCCTGAGCAAACTGATACACCCTTCAACATTTAATCTGAGCCCTTAGAAGAGCTCCTCTAGTCCATGTGTTCAGGTCTCTGACTCATCAAACCAATTGTTTCTAAATCAAAACTGTCCAAAAGTAAAACATGATGGGAGAGCTGTCTGGTGATATGTCCTGCCCACTGGCAAGTGCCACATGCAGGCTCCTTGGGAAATGGCAGAGTTCAGCTAAAAAGTGTCCTGCCTGTCTTTTATTCCTCAGAAGATGTGTCTCCCTGACAGCTTGCTACTGGTCATGGAGCCCACGTCAGTGACCATACATCTGAGTCCCAGCGGGTGAAGGTGCTGACAGGGGCCTGCAACCCCATTTCCCCCAGGGCCAGAGGCCCTAGCGCAGAAGTCCAGGGACCTTGGACAATAGACTGCAGCCAATTCCCTCCCTAGGTCACATCACCTCCAGCACCCAGAGTCCTGGGCCCTCCTCTCTGCTCCGGACCAGGTACTGGCTCCACCGTTGATCCAGTCACCTGGACAGCATCCTTGGGTATCCTTGTTGATCCCTCCTCCCTTATTTTTACATCCACTCAAACATCAGTCCTCAATTTCACCCTCCTCGATGGTTATTTCTTTAACCCACCTCCTTCTCACTCTCTGTGCATCATTGCCCTAATTCAGCTTTCCACAGTTCTCTGCCGGAAACTGCAAAACACCCCTTGCTGGCCCAGTTGCCACCAGCCTTGGTCCCTCCTGTCCATTTCTCACACAATCCAGACCAACCTTTCAGTGTGCATGTCTGAATGTTACATTCTCCTTGGAGAATCCTGTATGAACTTCTTACTTCCTCTAGCTTGGAATGCATGACCCAGCCCACTCTGCAGCTCTTTCTGGATCCTTTCTGTGCAGGATTTCAGCCCCAGCCACCCAACACTACACAACCTGCTATCCATGCTGCCTTTCACCCCAGCACAGCCCGTGCCAGCCTCTCTGCCTGGAGGAGCTGGGCCTGCTGGCCTGGGCTCACATTTTGCAGGCTTCAGGAAGATTCTCTGTGCTAAGTACCCAGGCCCTGCAGCCAGGAGACTGCAATATTCTTCTGTGCTTCCTTGTCTCCACTTCTAAATATGGGACTCATACTTTGTTCCAGTTTGCATCCCTGATGTTCACCTCAGTGCCCAGCAAATGCTGAAGGTTGCCTTGCCCTTGGCTTCAGGTTGGGTCCATCCACTGAAGATGTCAGAAGGACAATGGAAGAGTGGACAGAGGCAAAAGAGGATGGGGGTCTTATTCCCTGGCTCCCCCCAGGGAGAGAGCACTGGGCTGACCATGCCCCTGGACCAGGGCTGTGAGTCTCCTCAGGTGGCCCCAAGCATGAGTCCCTGGTGGCCACTTCTTCCCTGGGACTGTTGGGCCTCACAGTGGTGACAGCTCAGCTGCTACTAACCCTTGTGGCTCCCCTAAGCTCCACTTGCTCCACTCTCCAGGAGAAAGGGACTTTAGTGGATAGACCCCTCCACTTACGCAAATCTGAGTGCCTGATCCTAAGGGTACCCTGACTGACACAGGCAAGGTGGAAGGAACGATAGATAATTCCTTCCACTGTCAAACTCTGGGCAGAACTTTCTTTAAAATTATAGTTTTTTAAAATTATCAGGTTTTTGCTTATCTATGGAAGTGCAGAAATGACTAACCAGGTGCCTTTT